CGGCCAAGAATACTGCTCCTCAGATTAGAATCTGCCAGCACCACTCGCCAATCCCTCTGCTCCAATGGGATGGCTAACACCCTCGGGTAGCTACGTCCAAGCCGTCCCCGCTCTGCCCAGCGCGATTGAAATCGAGCTCTGCAAACAAAAAACATAATCAAGATTTGTAATCAAAAGTACGAAAGAAACAACGAAGTTCTCACCAGTGGCTCGCCACCCTATCGGGATCGCCCAGCCCCATCTCCGAAGACGGCTGGACTCTTCAAGTAGAAGTAACGATCTTTCCAGTTTTTGTCACTAGACCGCAGGTCGGTCACCAGATGAGACCGATCGTGCCTCAAGTTCAGCAGATATCGGCCCTTCTCCTTATCGTTCTCCTTCAGGAAGTACAAGTACAGCAGCTGTGCAACCCGAACACAACTTGATGCCGAACACACGATCCTCCAAGGCCATCAACAGCTCCAGGCGTTCGGCATAAGCTGGGAGGGGGCGATGATAAAATGATTCAGCATCTCCCAGACTAGGCGAGGCACCAGGCAACCTCAACCCATCGTGAAACCACATCTCGTACACGGAGACCCAACCTTCAGAATCCCAATCAACACGTCGTACGAGACGCGGGTCCGGACTTTAGCCGAACCAGGGATATGATACAGCGTACGGAGGCGCCACACGTCACCGTCCCTCAGCACGGGCGGATAATTGGTCAGAATCCCACTGCCCTGCTGGCTCGGCCCCTCCTCAGAGCTACTACCGGACGAAAAGGGACTATCAGCTCCTCCGGAGTCTTCCCCACTCCTACCATACCGAACCGAGCCACGGCCCAGCTCCACTCGACCCTGGAGCAGCCACACTAACTCCGGTCGGCACACCGACCGGAACACTCCCTTCAGGCATACCACCATAGAGCGGGGCCCGTCATACTCGTCCCCCAAATCCACCTCTTGACTCGAACCTGCGGACGTATCACCCGACACGGATCACTCGCCCGTTCCAACCGACCGACTCCTTCCTTAAGGAAACTCAAAGTATAAACTAACCACGGATCGCCCTTCACACCGAACGGTGCCCTCAAAACCGACCTCCTCAGCCTCGGACGACCTGTTCTACCGAAGTGGAACCCCAGTCGCCCCACCTAGCTAGCGACCGACCGAAAGGGGAAATGCCAATCGAGCCTCACCACAAACGAGTCCCCACTCTGAGTCAACCTTCCAACCGAACGAACCTAAGCCAAATTCAACACCAACTCGTTCGCCCCGGACGAACGATCCACCTCAAATTCAATCCTAGCCGTCTGCTGTCCTTAATCATACTCACGCCCTGAGCGATCGATCCCCTAATCACACTCCTCGCCAATCGGCGAAGCACCGACCGACCCAAACCACACCAAAATTGACTTCGTCTTCCAGGCCTAAACCAAAAACCCGAAAATTCACCTACAACCAAATTCTTCCCGGAAATTCATCGGAAAACTCAAACCCAGAAAATTCACCAAAGTCCTAACACCAAAAACGCCTGGAAACCAGTTTGAAACCCACCAAAAACTCAAAACCTCCTTGTTTTACTTTCCAGAAATTCTATCAAAAGAGAAAAATCTATCTAAAGAACAACAAAAAGACGCCAAAAGAGAAGAATTACCTTGGATGATTGTAGAAGACCACCTTCGCTCAAAAAACGGGACAAAAAACGAAGAAAAACAGGGAGAAAAATTTTTCAGACGAAAAACGAAAGCCAACGCAAATGGAAGACGAACAGCCGATTCTCCAAATTTGTAAAGAGAAGCGTGGATACGTGGCAGGTTGCGATTGGCTAGGTGTCAGAGTCTTTTCGTTTTCCGCCTCTCGAAACGACGGACAAATCGCCACCATCACGGCAGCAATCCTAACCACCTGAGAAATCGTGGCTGTACGGATTCCTCATCTCGGTCGACGACCTCCTGGCCGACTCAGCCTTAACATCCAGACATGTTCTGACACGCTCCGATATTCGCCCCAACAATGTACAGGCGTGACCCGTCTCACACGACTAAGCTTCTACAGTCGAGCCTTCTCAGACGTCGCATTCAACCGTCCGGAAGGCCCGAACGATCGACGCACGAGCTCGGCGTAGCCCGAGTTAAAATCTTCAGGAAGCCGTCAAACCTCGTCCATTCGCCATCCGAGGCGAAGACGAGGTGTCAACATGTTTGGTCTTCCACGTATCTGGTCGTCCCACAGCCGACGAAGGATCTCGGTAAACTTCTGAGCTTCGCCCGACCTGGCAGGACGAATAACCGCCCCTCGCGGTGTTTCCGTGTAATCGCGCAAACGTACCGAGCGACCCGACCTGGCTTTCAGCTCTTGGCCCATCGAACTGATCAGGCACAACGCGTGGCGGCATGCTCTTGTTCGGGAATGGATACCGACCAAGACAATCAAATCACTTACGTCGGTCAACTCTCTCCATGATCGCTCGTCCATGGGGAAAGAACGAGCTCGCCTTGAGCACGACCACTCTACCTTGAGATACTCAACTCAGAGAGTGGGGGACAAACTGTTAGGGCCAAAAATCGTCCTTGGCCCAAATAGGGAAACAGGACCATTAGCGAAGACGGACCAGGCCCAGTCCCGCAAAGGTCCAAACCGGCCCAAGTCAAGCGGGCACAAGCCTTTCAAACCTAGCCCATGTCCTAGGTCCACGGACGAATCCAGAGCCCACCGCCCTGACATAGTACTTTCCTATTCCTAATCAACCTCCAATTCAAAGACGCCTTCCTAATTTTGACCACTTTCCTACTTAGCGAATTCTCTTAAACAGAGTAACCTTCCTATTTGGACACAGGTAAGACAACTCACCAGACCTAATTCTTCTAGGGTTTACATCAGAATCAGTTGAGGACTCTGATCCCACCAGGATTGGGAGACCAGACGACCACTATATAAGCAGAGGCTGCCCTCCACAAGGACATCGACATTACCACTTACAACCCGAGATCTTTACTCGAGAGTTTCACTGATTCGCCGTAGTCACAGTCCCGACTAGACTTCCGGTAACCTCTACTCCCTCGCCCTCACTATATTAGCCTCTCTCAGCTTTGCTGACTTGAGCGTCGGAGTGCCTACGGCAAACACCACCCCGGTGTTTCCCGTTGCTTCACGCGTGTGTTTTCTACGTGTGCAGGTGCAGCGGATGCTAGGGCCTTAACCTCACGGGATCAGACCCCCCTTCCGTACAGGTAGATTTTTACGTCTACATACTTTAATTTAAAAAAATGGAATTTTACACATCATAGACTATATTTTCTTGTACGTCGGTGAATTCATTAATATAAATTATATTGTAGTATATTAAAAATTTAATGTTCCATCTTAGAAGAAAAAAAATTCAAAAATATTAGAGCAACTCCTTGAGGCTTGATTACTAATACCATCGTTTGTGTACCATTTCTCTATTTCATTTTCTGGTCCTTGAAAGATAAAACCTGTTTGTTTCTCCGGTTAATATTTATTCTAATTCTTTATGTATCCATTTGACTTAATTTTGTTCCAAATTGTAATTTAAGTTATACTTATAATTTTTTAAATATAAATTGTTGATGTTGTTATTTGCACAAACGAAAAGTACATCGGATCTTGTGATGAAATCTTGATTACTACATACCATCGTTTGTGTACCATATTCTCTATTTTCATTTTCTGGTCCTTGAAAAGATAAAACACTTGTTTGTTTCTCGGTTAATATTTTATTCTAATTCTTTATGTATCCATTTTGACTATAATTTTGTTCCAAATTGTAATTTTAAGTTATATTCTTATAATTTTTTAAATATAAATTGTTGATGTTGTTATTTGCACAAACGAAAAGTACATCGGATCTGTGATGAAATCTATGTAAGAGATTGTATGAAATCTGATGCGAGATCAATGAATGAATGAAAAGCACAAACAACGAAAGATTTTAAAATTGATTTGAATATTAGATGCAAATCGTACGTCCATTGTGTTTATATTGCTTTCTACTTTTTTCTGTGTACAATTGCGGTTGACGCAAGATATAGATGAAATGTAAAGAAACCTTCAATTTGGATGAAAAGCCAATTTATATATTGTTACAATGACAAATTTGTAAATAAAATTAATTTGTAATAGAATAACACGTTATATGAATTCAATTTACAGCAGAACATAAACATTTTTAAAATATTGTTTCAAAACGAACATTCCAAACACATTTTCATCTCCTATAAATCAACCGTTATTAATATCTTCAACAAAAGCAAAATTAATTCATAATCATAAAATACCGCACCTAGGACTGTAAACGAGTCGAGCCGGCTCAGCTCAGCTCGGTAAAAGTTCGTTTAGAGCTTGGCTCAAAAAGGCTCGATTTGACTTGACTCGAACTTGGTTCGTTAACCGAGTCGAGCTCGAACACTGTGAAGCTCGGCTTGTGGGCTCGCGAGCCTGGCTCGGCTCGATTAAGCACTGTACACTTCACAGGGTTTTTTGGTGATTTTTTAAACTATTAGGTATTAAACCGATATTTTTCAGTGAAAAAAGTTTTAAAAAATGACAGTTTCCCCCCCCCTCCCAACCCAAAGTGCAAATTTGAAATAACACAATAGCGAGCTTGCGAGCCGGCTCGAGCTCGAGTCTTAATTTTGAGGCTCGCCAAGCGTGTCAAGCTTGAGCTCGAGCTCGACACTGTTGTAAGCTCAATAAGCCAAAAACTCGACTCAGCTCGGCTCGTTTACACCCCTAACCGCACCTAACAATTTTACGCCCGCCAGCGCCAAATGGCTATTTCCCTTCAAAACCTTTGCACTGAAACGGTTCGTTTTATACTCAGCTGTGGCAGCAGAGATCCAGAACGATGCGTTTTGATTGACAATTGGAAAAGTGGAACTCGAGCAAAACGGTGCGCATTTGCTTTGCTTTCTCCTTCGAAGCTCCCGGCAGATTAAGATATACCTATTTCAAATGGAAGAGGAAAACAGAATAACAAAGAAGTCAAGCAAAAGAACACAGTTGAATGGAGCAAGAAATGCTACACAAATGTGAACAAACTCTCAGTCTCTCGAAACCACTCTCTTTACAAACCCTAGCTTCAGTTAGGTCTCTCATAATCAACCCTAACACCTCCAATTCAACTCTTTCTTCAATCCTCGAAACGCTAACTTGCTCTCACCAACTCTCTCTTCCTGACTCTATCACTCGCCACTACACTCTCAAGCTCCTTACCGACCTGTCGTTTCACCAGCCGCACCTCTCTCCTCTCATCTTCGACTCGCTCCGTGCTGACGACTCACTCCTCTCCGCCGACTCACTCGCCGCGCTCGCCTCCATCTCCGACCACAATCCTAACCTAGCTCTTCATATCGACGATCACTTCTTCGTTTCTCTCTGTTTCGCTCCGTGCGTGTCCGTGCGGTTGTGGTTACTAAGAAACGCTGAGAGGTTCGGTGTACGGTCGCATTTGTTGTTCACAGTGTTCTTAGGATTTACGAAGGATCCGTATCCGTATGTGCGAAGAGCTGCTTTGGATGGATTGCTTGGCTTGTGTAAGTTCGGAGTTTTGGAGGACCTTGACGTCATCAAAGCATGCTATTGCCGTGCCGTTGAGCTTCTACGCGACATGGAAGATTGCGTCAGACTCGCCGCGGTTCGCGTGGTAAATTATTCGTACCTGAATTATAAACAGGAATTATTTTCTTTGTACATCGAATACATTATACATTGCTTTTTCATCACTCAGAATTCAACAAAATGCTAAATGGTGCCATTGTAATAATAGCGTAGTTAAATTTTATTGATAAGTGGTTTTTTACTTTTAACTAATGAATTGCATTTGGTAATGGTATGTTTCATTTGGAAAAGTCTTAAATGTGATGGGAAGGCCAAGGCATGCGTAATTCTGTTTCATTACAGGACTCTTGTATTTTTTCGATACATGTTTTTCACGAGAATCGTTTCATCCGGCATACATCATTTTAATTACTGACAATTTCTATTTAGTTTTGATAATCTGTTTAACGGGATGGGGTAGCACAGCAAATTAGATATGTGGACTGGAGTACTAATTACGGGATTTTATATTGATTGTGAATCAGGTTAGTGGATGGGGTCAAATGCTTGTAGCGTACAACCAAGAGATGAGAGGAACAAATTTGTCCGATGCAGTGTTTACTCAGGTACTTTACAAAACTAATGCTGATTTTTTGTCTACACTATCCCTTTTTCATTTCTTTATAGATTGTTTAGGGGCATGTGCTGAATGAGATGCTTGGTTATCCTTTTGAGGTATGCACTGACATCTCTATGTAGCTTGAATTGCATATTGGTGGTGCCTGTTCTGATCTTTAGAGCATTGTTGCTCCTTATTCTGTCATCCTTTCCTTGTCATTATCTTGTTCTCTGGTTCTCACATATGACAATATCATATTTACTGTTCAGATGTTTGGAACATTAGACAGTTTCAACCCATGTAAGCATGCAATTGAGGCAAGGGAATTTTGGGTATTGATAAGAAAAAACTAGACAGTCATGCTATGTTATGTCAAGTCTGGTGAAAGAAATTTACTGTCTTTACCCTTTGTTAGTTGTAGTGGACGATTCCTGTTTTCTGTTTTCTTATTCCAATGGGACTTCTATCTCTTAAAAAATTTCAGCCATTTTAGTAGATTTTTTTTATCCTTATATCTCTTGTGCCATATGTGTTTGCAGCTCTGTTCTATGGCAAGAGATATGAGTATGGAAGTAAGGGTTGAAGCCTTTGATGCCCTTGGAAAGGTAGCAGTGGTATCTGAGGATATTTTGTTGCAAACGCTGTCCAAGAAGGTTCTAGGGATTTTCAAAGAGAAGAAACCTCATGGTCAGTGTGCTGCTGATTGCTTTGAAATTTCAGCATCAGGTGCTGCTGGAGCTTTTGTGCATGGGCTTGAGGATGAATTCTATGAGGTAATTCTTTGGTATGGTGCTTGTCCACTTCAATGGACTATTGTATACTGGAATTTATATCTGTGTCTATATATATAATTATGATAATGACATTGTCTGTTCTAAATCTGAAGGTACGGAAGTCTGCTTGTTCTTCCTTGGGTTTGTTGAGTGTTCTCTCTGAAAAGTTTGCTGGTGAAGCCTTAAACTTCCTGGTAGACATGCTAAATGATGATTCAGTGACTGTCAGGTTGCAGGCTCTGGAAACAATGCTTCTTATGGCAAACTGTGAGCATCTAAAGGTGCAAGAGATACACATGCACATGGTTGGTTTCCTGTCCTATTTATTACTCTTAAGGAAACATATATCGATATATATTCTTTGCTTATCCTACACTTCCGCTTGAGCATGATAAGTTTTCATAACATTGAGGTAAAATCCACAGTTAAAGTTGTATTATTAGATGGTTTTCAGTATATTGGTTTAATTAATTGTTGCATTATCTGATCTGATTGGTCCCTCTGAGAGACATGGGGTATTATGAGTAAATTACTTTTGGTTGCTGGATTGGTAATAAACTCCAATTCTCTCATGACTCTCTCCTCTTTGTCACCCTTGGGTGGGATGAAGGGCATTCTTTAGCAGCCACACCTTATCTTTAAAAACAGTGACTTGATATACATAGTTTCTTAATAACTTATAATTATATTTGATTCGGCAGTTTCTCGGCACTCTGGTTGACAAAAATGCTTTAGTGAGATCTGCAGCAAGGAAAATTCTTAGATCAGTGAAAGTTCCCAATGTGGACTTTTTTAAACTCTTTGTTGATGGTCTTCTTGAAAACTTGAAGATATACCCACAGGTTTGTTGTTGCTTCACTACAGAAAATTTATTAGATAATTTGAAAATTCAACTTATGCTATGTTTTTATATAAAGCTCACTCTAATTTCAATTCCTAGTAGTTGTCTCTTTTGTTTTTTATTTTTTCCCCCTTTCTTCTTCAACATTTGTTTTCTTTTTTCTCTTAGGATGAAGCCGATATTTTTTCTGTTTTATTTTATATTGGTCGAAATCATGGGAACTTTGCAGTGTGCATCGTCAGGGAGGTTTCACAAGAGGTAAGCATTGATCTTTATGTGTAATCTATGGTCTAGTGATTTGATGAACATGGACTCGCCTCTCTTTATCTATTTCTGCTCTAAATTGATTTTGTTGGGATAGATAAGCTTTTATTGGTGCAGTTGTTTGCATTAGGAGGAGGCATGAGTTTTTTGTTATAATAATTACTCTCCACCAAGTTCTCAAACAATAATGTCTTGTGCTGTTGCACTACAATTTCTTTTTCAGTGTGCATGATTCTACTTTCTGTTATGTTACAACGACTGCATTTGGTCGATCAGATAATGTTAGTTATTTCATAAAATCTTACTTGTCCATTTATTTCAGATGGAGCCAGATTCTCATGGCAAATTGGGCTTTGATGGTGCAAGAGTAGCTGCATTTCTTGTGTTGGCCATCTCAGTTCCCCTCTCAAGTGAACAAAATGTCTGCAGCATTCAACCTAGAATATTTTCTTATGCAGTTACACTGCTGGGGAGAATTTCTTGTGCTTTGAGTGATGTTATGGACCAACATTCCCTATTGGCCTACATTTCACAGTGCAGTAGACTTCCTAGTTTCTCTGACTCACAGTATAAAGGGGAAGAGTCATCCGTGCATGAAGTGAACAGTAATAGTATTAATGGTACCAGCACTGAGATTTCTGTGCAGGAAATAGGTGATGAAGTCCCAAAAACTTGGTCTTGGATACAATGCGACCTAAAGGATGTAGCAACATCACAAGCAAGATGCCAGCTGGAAGAGGAGGATGAAATAAATAATTCTATGAATATTGTACTAGCGAAGGTTAAGAATATCTGGCCCTTAGTACAATCAGGATATACGAAGGAAGTTTTGGAGACTTTGAGGTAGTAAAGTGGTTAGCTATATTCAAATTTTTTCTGCCTTTACAGGTTTACTAAATTTGAAAATATTATAACTATCTGTTACTACATTTAAATCATTATTCAATTGTCCTGTACTAGTTATTAGCTGAGGAGTTTGCATACACTTATTCCTAGAAGAAAATGATTATTGTTCTTTGCACAAATAATTGGGAGATGTAGGTAGTTTTATGGGTAGAGTAATATCTGCAATCCAAACCAATAAACACACCATCACTGTTGATAAACAGTATTTTATGTTCCTATGCATAAAGCAGGTGTAATTTTCTTTTACTACTTAGATACATGGTTGAATTAAGGAATGGTACCATAAACTAGTTATCTGTTGCTCCTTCATGGCCTCTGCATGCTTACATCCATAATCTGCTTTTAATTTCCTGCTTTTTGTCTTTTCCAGGGCTTGTAAGGAAGAAGTGTTAACATTTTCTACTAAATCCCTTGGATCTGATGGTGCATTAGCCTTTACATTGCGGTATATCCAGGTGGTGAAACTGCTTGTTAAGGTTTGGGAGCACTTTGCACCCATGAAAAAGCTCCATTATTATGAAGTGGGAGAATTGGAGCTCTTATTAGGAAAGTTAGACAGTAGGCTTGCAGATATCAGATGTAGGTTTATAGGGTTGTCTAAAGAAGAGGAGTTGCATGTCTTGGAGCTGGTACTTGTGTCTTGTTTGTTGAGGTTGTCTAAAGTTGAAATCTGCTGCTATCTTACTACCCTGAAAAAGCTGTCGTCTACAATTTCACATGTAGAATTTCTCCACCAGCAAGGGTCCATTGAACTATCCAAGTTTGTAACTGAAGTTAAGAATTCATTGCTTGAGATAGGCACCTCTACTTTTGGCGCTTCCTACGAGCCATTTCTGTTCAGTCAATTACTTGAGTCCTTTTTTCTAAACCAGCTTTTTTTAAGTGGGAGGCTTAGGCACATAAAAGCGGAACTGGATGTTCCCAATAATAGTACTGAAAATCCTGTTACTTTTGTTTCAGGGCTCCCAGTTGCCATACCTCTTGAGATCACTTTGCATAATATTTCGAGTGAGAATAGGTTGTGGCTTAGGATAACTATGAGTGAAGAGTCAACTCAGTTCATCTTTCTAGATCCGAACTTAATTGAAGGATACAGTGAGTTCCTGAAATTTACGTATATTGCACCCTTTTACAAGACTCCGAAAGCCGTATCTTTCTCATTGAGGGTTTTTATAGGCATGGAATGCTTATTTGAGGATGTCCATTTTGTCAAAGTCCATGGAGGTCCAAAACGTATGCTAGCATATCTTTGCCATGAAAAAGAAGTTTGTCTATCCATGGCTTCTAAAGGCTGATTATTCCTCTTAAAGTGTTGCTTCAGCACAACAGGTGGAAAACATACAAGTACGTACAGCAGAAGTTTAGTGGCTCCATTATAGACTTTGATTTTTTGCCATTGGATGGTCATGAAATTCTTATGGACTAAGTGAAAAATATGCAGACCAGCTTTCCTGTGTCTAAGATAGGTATTTGATTTTCTTTAAAATCAGGATACTACTTGAGTTCGTTTCTTCAGAAGGGAAACTAGCTCTTTTTGTTCCACAAGGGTCGAAGATGCATACTGCTTTGTTTCACTACTACCCTTTTAAAGATTGTTATTGAGTTGATGTTGTCGGAGTGGATGCATTGGAAGTTTTGCGGGTTTAATTCTTCTCCTAGGGTATGTACATCCCTTCTGGCCTTCCCATTAGTTTTTTCATTTAAACTTTTTTTTTTCTTAAGCATTATGGCTCTTCCAGGGGTGACAGCAGTGAAAGACTACATTTTCTTTCATGGAGATGGTCATGTAACAATGAAAGACGGGCAGCTGTTTCCTTTCGTAAACTGGCATATTTCTGAAGTTTGACCAGGAAAATTCTGAATCAATTATTTATCTTGTATTTATCTTCTCCAATGGTATGTTTAGCCTTTCATTTTTATTCTTTTCATATTTAACATTTCATTAAATCTTTCCGGTTTTTGCGTAGGGTGTAATCAAGGAGACGATGTCCCGCCTCAGCTTATGTGTGCCTGAGCTAATAATTATAGTTATATATGTGGTTTTTGCCAAAGTTGTGGATGCTTCAGTGTTTATAAGCATTTTGTGACACCACTGACTTCGATTTCAGATTTTCAAATCTGAAGTCAACATGGATAAGTCTTCTCCAAGAGGAAACGAGGACTGGCATTGGTATATGAAATCATTAGAGCTCGCTGGAGAAGGTGACTTAAAAGTACTTCTCCAAGGAGAATAAGCGGAGCAGTTAAAAATGCCTGTTCCACAGGTGTGAACTGATCGATAGTTTTAGCGCTTAATCCATTTCATGTTCTCGGGAAAATAGATTTAAATTTTATTGCAGTATTATGTGATTAAGTACAGGCTACCCAAAATTGACAATTTGGTCACCTTGGTATTGAAATTTCACTATTATCCCTTCCATTATTTATTATTCGTTTTTGCGTTGAAATTAATTTTTGACCACTAAATGACCATATTATACTTAAATACAAAAATCTCAAAAGGAAAAACCCTGAAGTTTACAAAAAAATAATAATAACATTATTTAAACAGAAATGTCAAAACGTTTTGGGTGTTTTTTTGTTGATTTAAACTAACTGTTGGGGAGATGATAACTCGGGATTAAGCCCCTATTAATTACTGAGCATTTTGTGAGTATGCATCATGATCTGTTGTTTTATGTTTTCTTATTGTAAGTTACCCTCACATTATATTTGTCGCCATCCCTTGTACTACCTAATAATCTCGACAAGATTCAGCAACTTTGTACATTCGCAATCTTGTAGAGATTATTAAAATATATGTCCAAGTCGCCATCATGTAATCTTGTAGAGACTATTAAAATATATGTCCGAGTAAAACATTCACAGTTCTATGAACTCAACTCTGACCAAGGTTGAGATTAGCTATTTTATTTAACGAGTGAATTATTTGTTTCTATAATTTGTACATTCGTAACTTCAAGTTACCCTCATAACAAAAAAGATGTGATTGAGATAAGCCTCAACCCGATCAGCTTCAAAATGAATAAAGAGAAAAAATACAGTATTCTCTACAAGGTAAAAGCTGACATGGAACTCCTTTTCCCAATTTCATCAATTACTTCCCAGCCCTGACCCTCTTTATAACATTCAACCTGTTATCACATAATCAGCAAATACAGATGAGATAAGATTGGTGCATCGATCTAACAACTGCATAAAAAACAAGTATGGCGAAAGATAAGATACTGTGTCCAAGACTCCGTCACCGGTTGCCACTCCTGCAACAACATATATAGACTCTTTCAGAACACCAGCAGCAGAATACCCCCTTGTTTGCTTCATTGGGTCTGCCCTCATCCGTGAATCCATACGTGAATCATAAATTTCGATGCTTGAAACCATTGTACTGCCATCACAAGCACCCAGAGCATATCTACAACACAAATTCATCTTGTTAATCTGAAACTTGAGAAGGATAATATATATCTCTGGGGACTATTGCAATGCATGAGGAACATAATTACGAGTAGACTTGCAGTAAGAAAAAGTGAGTTTACAATGTACAATGTTAATCAAAATGTATTATTTCTTATAGTACAACCGACAAGTACCAATAAACTACAAAACAAGAGAACAAGATGAACAAGGAAACTTACAATTTTCCATTCAAAACCACCAGTGAGTGGCAGGCTCTCTTTGAGCTCATGCTTGCAATTTGTTCCCAATAACGCATTCTGTAGTCAAACTTTTCTGCAGACCTGAATATGTACAAAAATGTCAGGCAACTTTTAAAAAAACAAATGCCAGAAAAATTAATTACATTATCTGAACTTTAATTTTGCATCATCTATTCTTTAGTTTCTTACTATCAGATGCATCTGAATGTTATTACAGGCTAAATCAATTAGTAGCTATGTACAAATCTCCATATATATATATATGTCATAGGCATCTCAAGTCAACTAAATGTCAAACAAAAGATTAAAAGCACACCATCAATTTCTGATATGCCAAGAATTTGGAAGTATATCCTGCTGATATGCCAATATATATAAATTTAATTATGTACATCATGGAACTCCCTGCAATCAGTGAACCACAGCAACACACACACAGCACACAACCAAGAATATGCACGAAAGAGAAAGAAATGGCAGTTTATATTAATTGGAACTAAGATAGCATAACAGAGCAATAGAAATAACAAGCAGATTCCCAGCAGTTCGAGGAGCTGGGGGCCTCCCAAACAAACCTATGAATAATATTGATGATATCCCCTCCTCTCTCACTTTCTTCCTTTTTATAAGCCCTTAGTCAGTCCCTTAACTAATTGACAGCTAGGTGTCCATTTCCATAATAATCTTCCCCTGCACGTGTCCCTTTTCATAACAGATTTCCCATGTACTAACCACCCTCCTTGCACACCTCATCATCCCCTACCAGACTCACACTTAATGTACCCTTGCCCCTCTTCCTTCCCCTGCCTTTGGACTCATAGATCTTAAGTATGGGAGGTCTAACAGTACACAAACAGGAAAACAATAAAGGGCGTGTGTCTTACTTCAGATGATCCTTCCCATCAAATCCGCCAGTAGGATAAAGCACACCATCAATTTCTGCAGCAGCAAAAGAAAATCGCTGGAGAACAGATAAAGGGCATTCATGGACCAAGTCTTAGTCAACTTATACATCATGCATGCTTTATAAGATGGCGTGCCACATGCCTCAAGGAAGTAAGAAATGTCTGAAATTGCCACCACATTACACATACAGTAAATACATGTAACTGACATATGTCTCATGATATAAAGCATCTTCAAAACTTGTATTGAATGACTGATAACATATGATAGATGCCCAACTTGACGACAGAAGTGACATGTTGTCCATGATGAAACAAAATACCTTTATTTTCAGGAAACTTAATTGCCATGATGTCAAATAAGCAATGAATTCAAGATCATCAGTAAACCTTCCCTCAATCATTGCACCAAAATCCAGGAATCAAATGAAATAGATAGAGGATTGAAATCGAAAAAGGCAATTTTTTATTGTCTTTCTGATTCACATTTTTCCATTAGTTCTACCAAATTAAATTTCTCAATTATAAGATATCATATTGAGTGAATCTAGACAGTACTTGTATCATAAATCATAGTGAATTCTCACTAGATATCTCATTTAATTAGATTCTGATCCGTATCTGAGGAATATCTGTTGTGAGTTTAACAAACGCCGTAAGATTTCATACATTCTGAAATTTCCATTTGCCTGAGTTCAATTCAAAGCAAAGCCTCAAATGATAAAACCCTCAATGTTTTTCAATTCATGCATAAAAATTAATTGAAGCTCTCACAAGTAAATTTAATTTTCGATCCTTTGTTAAATACTAAACCAATGAAACTGCATTCCTCAAACTGATTCAAGTGCAGGTGAAAAGTGTACCTTTTGTCACAATGACAGCATACCGATCCATCGTTCAAGCTTCAAATAAAACATTTCAACATTTGAAAAGCAATCAACACTATTCCCACCACCAATTGCATATATTTTGTTATCAAAAGTAACTCCACCTAAGCCAGCCTTTGCCTTATTCAAGGAAGGGCAGAGGGTCCATTCATCATTACCTGGGTTGTACGATTCAGTTGACATATGTATGAAGTATTAGAGATAAGTAGATTGAAAAGGCAATAATATTTTAAAGAATTATTAAGAGCTAATACCTATATTGTACCACGTGCGTCTATCCCCACCACCAAAGACATAAACCTCACTATTCAACAATGCAACTGAAGCATATTAACGAATAGAGTTCATTGGCTGAAAAGATTTAATCACACCTCGCGAGGGAACATATAAATCCAATGTTAATAACCATGATTCCCCATCATATCCACCCAACAGATATATTGACTCAGTAGGATCGACATGCAGCTCATCTGACTCTATGGCCTTTTCATCACTTAGTTCGATGGGAGGATTAGACACAGAGTGCACCATCATACAATGATTTTTCAACTGCTAGATCTCAGCTTCTGCATCAACCTGGAAGAGTCGGGGTCAAACGTATTTGCTCATTACATCAAGTGGCCGAATGAAATACACAAATGCAAGGAAGCACCATTTTCCATAAACATCATAACCATTAATATCCAGGGGAGAGGGGAGGGGGAATTAATGCATTGACCATCAAATGAAGGAACAGTAGTCTCTTCAATTTATCATTAGTGCAATACAATATGAATTTGATTATCTCAAGACACTAGTGACTCTTACCTTTGTATTATAGGTACTTCAACCACTAACTAAGGCTCTTAAATGCGCTAAATTATATTTTCATTTAAATCTCCAAGCTTTTGGTGTTAATACTGAGGAGAGGGAAAAACCATCAACTGCTCGGACTATTGTTGCTAATGCTTTTCCTATTCAACCTTCTAGAGCACCAATGGCTATAATTCTACTTCTACTTCCATTGTAAATTCATTCAATTTAACATTAGTCCTTAGTCCATAGAATACATATAAATAATTAATCAAAAAAGAATTCAGCCTCCAACGGTGACTAAATTGCTATGTTCAAATATATCAATCTGCACATTGTTTGCTTAGTAATTTGCCAAAGGCAGATAAATCAGCTATTGGAAATAGCAGAGTTCAACATCAGAGGAATGGCAAAGCATTACCAGCTTCTGCTCCAAATATCTCATCCTTAGATTTTGTTCTGTTTGAATTTCTTTAAGCTCTTCCACCCCTTGAATCAACTACATAGAGCATAAAGCAACTTTACTAAGGCCAAAGCAAGAAACTCTTTTGAATCTTAAGTGAAATAAAGTAAAGGACAAATATCCTCAACTACCTTAGCTATGATGGACTGACAATAAGAAGAGGAACAACTATTCTCTTCATTCTTCCCATCAGAGCTCATCATATCACAAATAGAACCCCCGTTTCCTGGGCACATACCACTGGTAATCGCAGGTTCATCTACATAATCAGTTAAAGGAACGTCTTGACGTCCACAGCAAAAAGCCAATTCTTTCAGTTTCATGAGAATAATACCTTTCTCATCTTGTTCCACCATCTTCACATCTGAATGAGCTTCCACTAGCAGGTTGTCTCCATTTAGTGGAACATCATCTCTAGAATCTATTTTCCTACTCAAGTAATTAGACTGATCAATCTCCAAAGGACGTGGCTGAAGTAATTCACACTCCCCTTTCATTTCACCGACAGGAACAGCATCTTCAGAATCTAAAACCCAGCTTTCTTCTTCCGTGTCAGTTGACGAAAGAGGTTGGAAAAAGTTTCCCCATTTTGTTGTATTGAAAGGAAGACAAGGTAGACAAGTGCTTGTTGAAACTGCTAAAGATGCTAGTGATATCAGCTTGCTTGCCTGAGGATGGTCAGGTCCATTACTGGTTTAAACTGTTCTTCAAGCAGTGGTTGGCATTGCAATTTGACATGAATCTGAACCTTCATTTGGAAAGCAACATAATATCAGCATTAAAGCGCCTTCTCTTCATCATAAACTATCTGTCTCATATATAACTTTTTTAACTTAAAAACAACTAGAAAATAGATAAGCAAACTTGTTATATTACCTGTGCAGGATCTTAGAACCATCAATGGTCCACCCATACGGATCAATGTTCACTTTGACAGGGCCGGCAGCTTCATAGATGCCGTAAAGTTTCTGTCACTGTAGTTGAATAGAAAAAGTGGTGGACCAGTATCAATGTTCTTTACATAGGTTAAGTCTTGAGCTGGTACGCCTGTTAAAGTTAATACAAAATCTCGTAAGTTCTTCGAGAAAAACTAAGAACAATATCGAAGCTGCACCGCAATGCTGCCCAACTAAAATGAAAAGAAAAAGAAATTATATCATATAGAGATATATTCTTAAACCAAACTACCGTTTTCCCATCTTTAGCAGCAATCCTGCTTAAAAAAAAGGAGCTCAAGGTGTGTATGCAAAGTAATAGTTGTAGAAAAGACGTTTGCAAAATAAGAATTATTCTATTAATGACAAACAAGAAACAAACTCTAGACGAAAGCAAATGATTAAAATAAAAACAATTAGAAATATTTTATTCATTCTTCCCATTTTTATGCAATCCTACCAACAAATATCACTGGTTTCTGAATGACTAACTAATTCCTGAAAGAAAAAAGACAACCAAAAACAGCCAAAATGTTTACTAAAAATATGCCTCAAAATTGCAGATGACTGACCAACGGTTGATTAGTTAAACATTCTTCAATGGTGTTATTCTTGCAACCAAATATAACACCACCAAGCTGGCTCTTTCCCAGATTTCTAGCAGATGCACGGGTATAGGTTGGGGTAGAAGGTGAATTTCCAGCGACAATGAAAGTTTGTTTTTTTCTTCCTGCCCCCACCCTGTAACCAAAATTGAAAAAGATCAAAAATGCGAAACAAAATCTGAAACTGCAATTAGAGCTTAAAACATGAGTAACTACTGCTAATCAAAAGGGCTCAAAAACTTTCAACCAAAACATTGAAGACATTGATCAAATAACATTGTAAAATAAGTACTAAATGCAGCACAATCATGAAACAGCAAATTTATAAAATATCAGCTATCATAAGAACAATAAATCCGTGGAAACAAAAACCTAACCTCAACGATTAATGAGTTGACTTTCGTTAATAAACAATAAGGCCATTATGAATTGACTTAGCAAAAATAAATAAACACAAAGGCCATTATGTCAAACAAAAGATGGAGATCCTACTTTGATGTGCAAATTGGATCACAAAAAGGCTCCTACATCAACCTCATCAATATCCATTCCTTACAATTCCTCTCATTGAAAAATAATTATACATTTCTCACAAATTAATTAACACTAATGATGCTTTCAAGAATCATTCGCTTAATACACAGTAATTTGAAGCATTATAATATCCATAAATAATACCAAATAAATAAACAATCAAAACCTAATAGCAGAGTGTGATGCTCAATGGACAAAACCTGGAAGTACAATTCAATGTAATGCTATCGGAATCACCAAATATGCTTAACAAGAACTTCAAAATAAAGAAAATCGCAAACTATTAATTCGTTTGATAGAAACGGAAAAAAGAAAGTAAAAGCGAAACGGCAAAGACTTATTTAAACTTCAAAAGCAAACAAATGCGGCAAAAAACCCTAACTATCACAAGTTTTAATCAAATCACCGAATCAAAGTGAAACCGAGTTCACTTTCTTTGTTAAATCATCCGATTGAAGCAAAGCCGCGGCACTTTTAAAATCGAGCGAACAAAACTGAAATAAAAAAGAAAGAACCAAAAATAATGAGAGTTGAAAGGAAGATAAGCGAAGAGAAAATGTGTCAAAAAGAGACGCGTACACTGTGCGTCGAGGGTGCTGAAAATAGAAACAGTGTGCTCCACTTTAGAGTGGTTGGCAGAAGCGCGAAATGGAAACCAGTAGTAGTAAATAATTACGAGTAGACTGCAGATGAAAAGTGAGTTTGCAATGTACAATGTTAATCAAATGTAGTTTTTTACGGACACGCAGAGCTGAGCCATCAACAAGTACAATACACTACACAACAAGAAAACTAGAGGAATAAAAAAAACTTAAACAATTTTCGATTCAAAACAACAGGTGAGTGGCAGGCTCTCTTCGAGTTCATGCTTGCAATTTGTCCCAATAACAGCATTCGTTGTTCAAATTTTTCTGCAAAAAATGATACGTAAAAAAATGTCAGGCAATTTTAAACAAACAAATGCCAGAAATTAATTACATTATCTGAACTTTGATTTAGCATCATCTATTCTTTAGTTTCTTAATACAGATGCAACATAAATGTTAAATGTTGTTACAGGCTAAATCAAATAGTAGCTTTGTACAGATCTCCATATATATATAAATCACATGCATTTCAGTGGCAACAAAATCCTGTGATATGTCAATATATATAAATTTAATTACATACACAACAGGAAAACAATAAAGGGCGTGTGCCGTACTTCAGATAATCCTTCCGTCACCAGTAGCATAAAGCACACCATCAATTTCTGCTACAGCAAGTGAAAATCGCTGGAGAACAGATGAAGGGAATTCATGGACCAAGTCTTAGGCAACTTATACATCAAGCATGCTTTAAAGGTGGCATGCCACATGCCTCAAGGAAATAAGAAATGTCTAAAATTGGTATTTCATTTATACCATTTACATAGCATCGTCTTGCTACCACATCACACATACAGTAAATACATGTAACCGACATATGTCTCAGATGTCAAATAAGCAATGAATTCAAGATCATCAGTAAACTTTCTCAATCATTGCCCCAGAATCCAGGAATCAAGAAATATATAGAATTCATCTAGATAGAAGATTAAATTGAAATAGGCATTGTTTAATTGTTAGTGGAGACATAAAATAGAGGACAAAAGGAGGGAAAATGTTTAATTGTTGTGCATATACATAATATACAATTATGAGACAATTAATAATATAAACAGGACAACCTATAAAATTGTAAAAAAATTCTATTTTTACAGTACATTGAAAAACTGAATGACAAAATAGGGATTATACTGAAATTTTAAGTAAATATAGAAGTAAATAAATTTTAGGTAGTTTTCTAATAATCTAAATATTGAAATAAATAAAAAGGTAACAACTTTTTATATGTATTGTTAGAAAACAGGTCATAAATCTACGTAAAATGTGCTTATATATTGTACGTATTATTCTCTCTCACAAATCATTCAGCTTCTACATAATTATTTTATGATGCATAGTTAGAAATTGAGAGAGCAAATTAATTAGATAAAATGGATTAGAAATAGAGATTGGACTTCCTACCATTCAAAGCAATTTGGATTCTTAAGTCTTTTAGTGTCGCGGTTCATCAGAATCAAAATCAAATCAGAATCAGAATCAGCAAGCAATGGGGTTGACTTCTACTTGGATTCAACTCTGCCACTTCTATTCCCTTTGACACCCAATTATTGATACACAAAACAAACAAACATCATGATCAATAATTAATATATGAAAAAATCAATCAATTAAAGAAATAATTTGATTCATATATAAGATTACTTTAAAGGCAATCATATTTTAAATAAGCAATTAACAAACAATTACATGCAGATTACATATGTTTATTTGTCATATAAAGATTTTATGATAAGAACTGAATTATATAAAATCAGTAATACTTTATGATTAACACAAAATTATTTCAAAAGATAATGATCATAATCAACTCTACGGGTCCCAATGAGTTCATTTTATATACTTGAATTAAATTTAATATTTTAAGTCATATTAATATTAGTTTCACAATTAATTTAGAAAAAAAAAGTTAAGTTAGAGGTTATGTACTATTTTAGACTTGGCATTACTTTAATGAATATATAAATTTTATAATTTTAAAGAATCCCATAATCATATTCATTAGGTGAACAAGAGTTTCCACAAGAATGAATTAGGAAAATAGAAACTAATCCATAATTAAAATGAGGTGGACAGAAGGAAAACTTACTTATTTATAGTTGCATACTTTCAATCTCTTGGAGAGCGTTCAGTTGTATCCAAATTTCATTCATCCAAAGAAGTAGCAGAACTCTTAAATTGGCAATTGCATGCAGCGGAAAATCATCGGAGGTGGTTCATCGTTATAGCGGCCATTCCATTGAGTTTAGCTTTCTTTAAAGATGAAGATCTATAGTCCTCATTTGTAATCTTCAGGGCACCATAGAGACTCCACCCCATGTTTTTCACCGTTACAACCTTTGTTAAATGGGAACCATTATTTTCATTTATTTTGTGGTTTAATATTCGAAATGATCTCAACCTCATGATTATAAGTAATGTGAGTTTTACCACTATTCACAAAACACAATCCTACTCTCAAGAACCATCGATGTGTTTAATGTCAGTGATTTCTATCTTCGAACCAACCTTTATAGACCCAATGCAAAGTCTGTGGATCATTAAGATATTGATATCATCATACAATAACAAGAAAGGTTGGCCACAAATCTAGCAAATCTGGGAACTCTACAACAGTGCAGAAAGCCAAACCAGCAAATGGATTTATGGCAGTGTCAATTGCAAGGGAATGAGCCCGATGATAGTTTATATATAGCACATTTTGAAAGCTAAACCACTCTGGAATTTCACTCCTGGGAAACTCATACAACCTTTTGGATTCACACAGTTCATCTGCAATAAAAAAAATCTAGCATTGTTAATTTAACATCAAAATTTTTATTCAACAAAATAAAATAAGAATTGACTTTGTATGAAGGAGAGAGACCTCTTCATTTCTGAGCATAAAGTTGTACTTTGCTGAAACTTACAGAGCATTTCACAGTTCTCTGGGCATTCCTTTTCCATTTCCATACCGTTTCTAGACAACTTTTAAAATCTAGGTTGTCATATGGAGATTTGACATGAAATGAGGCCTGTACAAGCACAATGTGTCAAGCACTACATGCACTGATTTGTTAAAATTTGATCTTAATGTTTTTATTTGTATTTTATAAGCCTTTAGAGTGATGTGTTGATATGTTAAGTGACTTCAGATGTTCCTAAATACTGGCACACCACGAGATGACATAAATTTTGTACCAAATGAGCTTATTAATTACTTTTATTAGCCCAACAATCATTCCTCAAAAACTCCACCTTCTTTTCGATTTTCCTCCACAAATATATGTTTATTTTCCTTTCTCTATTCCACCAATCCGTTTGAACTTTGCATTTCCATTGGCTTGCGGTTTCTGACTTTTCTCTTTCCACCTTCTGTTTGCTCTGTCAACACTATCTCTGGATCGTTTTTTCCTTGTTTCCATAGCTCCAACATACCAGAATGAATCCACACTTTACATCCCACACTTTTCACGTCCCTTTGGTTCAGTCAATTTGATGAGCACTTGTACAATTTAATGACTTCATCTCAGCATAATTTCATGTCAATTCCCCCCCTATCTTAATCATGGTTTATTTATCGCATGACAGCTTAATATCTATGACTGACCAGGCATTTCTACCAAATCGACCGAGCGCTCGGGAAATCGCATTGAGTTTAGCGAGATACCTTTGCTGCTTACCCTTTTTCCTTTGCCCAAATCCGTCCCTCTCTCTCGTACCCGGACCTCCTCCGCCCTTGGTATTGCACACCACATGGACAGCGATGGGGCACTATGATCCTTTTCGCCTTGTTGAGGCTTTGTCCACTCTTAGTGGTGATCACGAGCTCTTCTCGCTCGTTTTTGACCGTTTCCCCCCCTAGGCTTCATTCCGTGGACCAGCTATCAGCCCCCCACACATTCTCGCCCCGCCCTACCCTGTAACCCCCTGACCCTTCACGTGTGGCTTGTGTTTTGTAGATTAACCTCATCCCCTTCTTGTTTCTCTTGGGAAGTTTACAGTTTTGAGTTGTAGTCTTTTTTTTTTTTTGGTTTTTCCCATGCTTGGTAAGACAGACCTAACTATACCTCCTGAGGAAAAGCGAGGCTGTTATGTTGTTTCATTAGATGTTCGTATGTTATATTGGTGGTGTGGCTAGGTTTTCTCTTTTCGGTAACTTCAAGGAAGAAATTTTAGGTAGATCCACTTCACAACAATTGCCATAATTGCTGCCGTTGTCTCTCACAGCGGTCATCATAGACCCTGAGGCTCTGATATGATTGCCAGGACAGCAGCGCCATAGATCGAACACCAGCTACGACCCATGGCAGCTCTGGAAATAGTTGACGTCTTCGACAGATTCCTAGTTAGCGTCGACAAGTCAGAGACCGCCCTCCGAGTTGGATATGCTCTCACATCTTTCCAGTTCGCTCTCTGGTAACCATGGGTTGGTATTTTTGGTATTTTCTGTGGTTTTTGGGTTGGTATGAAGTCCTAGTTTTTTGTGTCTATTTGGTGGTGCTTACCACTAGGGATTTGGTCACTGCTTATGATTTTACGATCTGTTGATTAGATTGAGGACAGTGTGGTGTCAATGAGCTGCCCCTGCTGGAAGCCCTTCACTACCTTACGGGGGTCTGTCTTCTATAATGCGATGATGGCAAGTCCGTCAAGTGGATAATTGTGAGCAAGAGGGTAAGATGAGCCCAATCCACCGCCACGTGTTGTCTGAGTCATATATGAGAACTGGTAAGCGGAGTTTCGGCATGACGTAAAGGTGATGGTGCTTTCTTTAGGCTGAAAACCCTTCAGCCTTCGAGTGACACCACATTACAATCCCAAAGTCATCAACGGCTAATCTTTCCCATTGTGGGAGACAATCTTGTTAAGATCAGCAATTCGAGAGATTCCTTACAGATGCCACGCGCGACTAATAAGCCTTTTGCAACACTGAGAATCCAGCTAGCAAGCTCATTGAGATTTGAATAGACTGAGGGAGCGATTCTTGAGCACACAACTGAACGACCTTTTAAATCAATCCTTAGATTGGAAGCTCTTGACGAGATTTGGAATCTCTGTCACTGTGTTCGGAGTAACTGAGAAAACAGATTTCAAATTACAAGTCTATAGAAAGCAATAAAATCATGACCAACCTCAATTCAATGCGCTTTCATATTTTAGCATTTCGAAGCTATAACACTCCATTGTTAGGAGTTATTCTGTGTACCTGAAACCCGTCCAAATGCTTACCTTGCTTTTGGGCATATCACGTTAAACACGGCTCTTGGAGGAAAACTACTGCAGTGATTTAAATGGATCAATTCAAATGAAACCTAGATACTAGTGTCAAGCGAAAGGATTCCAGGTCTTCACCCCAGCCAAAGTACTTTTCATAACCAATCTGCCGAATTTAAATGGTATGGTTGATACTCTGAACGATCTTACGCCTCTGCGAGATCACTTCGTCTTCACATCTAACATTGAAGAGTTACCCACCTTCGCTCTGCCTCTTTTTTAGATGTCCAAATTATGCTTCGCAAGCATCCCTTCCCTAACAGCCAAAAGAGCGGCCAGTTAGAAACAAGATACAAAAGCTCAATTTTTATTTTTATTTTTAATGGTAAAAGACTCCCATTAAATCAAAACTAATTAATTAAGCTAAAGTTTAC